ACGGCACGAGCCCTCTCGCGCACTGCCGTTTGCCTCCAGTGAACTAAAGTTATGGCGGCGTCACGCATGCGCCGAACGCTCGGTGAGATCGGTCTATTAACAACCGGCGATGATTTGTTCGCGCTGTGTCCTGCTCGGCACATTCACCGAGCTAATGCACAGTTTATCAACGCGTAAGCGTCTTCATTCATTCAATGAAGTGTAATCGGAATTAACTTCTTTTACAACTTAACTCAGCTACAGCCGGCGTGTCCAAAGCTCTTCGGAAGGCAACGAGCGCGTGCTGGAGGCGGAGCCTTTACTGCATTGACAACCTGTCACGAACTATACGAGTTTAAACTTACCGCCAACCTCCTACCCCTAACCCTACGAAAAAAAAAAAAAAAAAGAAACATAGCCTACATAGCTTTGATCGAGAAGTATGTCATTTTCTCGGGAGGAACTACATAGTACGCGTGGTTATTATTACACGTAAGCGAGGCCACTTTTGGCGAGTCACGTTTGCGGTTGGCGGGGCCGCATTATATAGCACCGATTGGGCGCTCGGATAACGTCTTCTCGTAGACGTGCGAAGAGGATCAGTAAACGTCGCGAGTTACGTATGACTCGCGGATTGAGCCGGGTCACGGGCTGCTATTTGTCCCTGTTGCTCGCTGGTGGCGAGACGGTTTTGGGACGCTGACCTTGGACAAGAAAATGCTCCGGGTCAGGCAGCGATTGCTCCCCGAGCGCCGCCTTGCCAGCCGTCCTCTGTTGCAGCCACCCTGAGAACCCGGAAAACCTACCACTGAAACCGGATCGATGCTTGGTTCTTTCTTTTTTACGGGTTTCTTTTTTGCCGTATCGTCGTTGGCGTTGCATCATTGCGCACGGGCAGAAGGAATTCGTGGAGGAACCTGTTAGGGTCATTCGTAAAAAAGAAAAAAAAGGACGTAAAAGGGGAAATATACCGAGAAATACTTGTTTTATGGACGTGTCATCGAGCTGCGATTGGCCTTGGCAATGGCGTTGTCAGAATTCCTGGACTGGGCGAGGGAGTGTTGCGCTCGAAATCGATGTCGCACTTGCCTCGTGTCCTCTTAGATATTCTCTCGCGGGAAGATCTCTATTAGTCCTCAATCTAATTGGTCCTCCAAAACGTGACAAAAAAAATGAAAAAAAGGTTGACTGATGTATTGATTGAGGATAATAACTCAACTCATGTGAAACATAGTGAAGGGATATCACGCTTCTTTGTGGAACGCCTTCATTGACTTCTTTAGAAAAGGCGGTACACTATCCCGACTGTCGAAAAGCAGGAGCAAACGATTGAACAAAATCAACAACGACTCCGCAGTTCCTGACTATCCATAGAAATATTTTTGGAGCTGAAACGTGCTTGAATAACATCTCATAAAAACGAGAGCACTAACCTAGATATGTCGAGTCAGTTGCGATACCCTTCGATTATTCTCTTGGCTCTCCGTCGACTGAGGGAAGAAGTAAGCTCAATTTTTCTTGATATGAAGTACATTTTCTTTTAACACTGATACGTGTGATGTGTATAATATTTAGAAAAAATCGAATATTTATGATTGTCAAGTTGTCACGGAGATCTTGAAAACGTTTGCAACTAAGCTTTTGCAATTTTAGTCATTTATGGAAGTCCCTTTTAAACTGCAAAATAATTCTGTGCAGCGTATATGCCCGACTTTCAAAGAACAAAAGAGCGTACATGCTCTCTCGTAACGTTTAATCAGATAACTTCTAAGATTGTTGTTCCTGGGTCTGGTTGAGATTTATGAATGTCATATTTGTGACAAGTGTTTCTAATACCAAAGAAAGGAACACCGGATGTTTGTTTCTTATAATTACGCGCCGCTTTACGTTCTTAGGGAGCTTTTAAACGAGGAAAATTAAAGGCTTCTTGTCTAAAAGTTTTTTTTAATTACGTAAGAATAAAATGGTCGTGAAGGCATACACATTGTTTTCCCTCTATCAATTTAAAATTAAAGTGCATTAGTCAAATTTTCTGAACCTGGTATTTATTGGTCACAACGCAAACATGTTTCCAAAGTAATCATAATTATATAAATGTTTAGAAGGATTAAAGCCTAGATACGTACCGTGGAAACCCCAGGTCTATAGGCTACTCGAGAATCTCAAGAATTCGAATCTCGGGGTCTACCTGTACCACAAAAAAACACATAAAACCTTATCGTCTGAGTGACAGCTGTCGTTTAAGTGGCAACCATTTTGGCAACAAACAAAATAAATAATTTTTTTTAAATAAAATGAATTTTAAATTATTTTTTACTGTTGTTTTCTGGCGTTCTTGTTATGCCAACTACGGACCAAGAGGTGTTGATTCAGCGATAAGGATTAAATAGAAATGACAGGATTATACAACCCGCTGTCCAGGAGCTATATATCTGAATAGTTAAGATGATAACATCTAATGGACAGACTGAGGAATACAGTCTACATTTCACTAAGTCACCTATCCTCAATAATTCTTCCGTGAAAGCTTCCATCTGTTTACTTTGCGAGTACCCTAATGTAACCTTTATTGTCATACACTTAGTCCTAATCGAGTGCGTCGTCAAATGTTCCCCCTTTAATACCTATTGCCTGAATGCGTTTAACTTCCAAAAGAGGCTGACGTTAACCAACTACCACCGGGCTTTTTTTTTTTTTTTTTTCATTCAGCGTGATTTTTTTTTTTTTTTTGCTCTTGTATGTTTAGGACACAAATGACGAGCATTCATAATTACTACTGGGAGAAGCGGGTCAATTATTTTAGCTTAGCTGTCGTACTGCAGTGGCTACCTTGCACTTCTGCAGTGGTGGCATATGACATAAACTTCTACTGTATAAACATTTATTATATAAAAAGGGTTTGTACTTGTCCACGCCCATTCCATACTGGTTGTTTCCTTGTGTTTTCGCCGGGTTCCAGATAGAATCGCATATTTGTTACGTGTACGCCGTTTCTGCGCTCGTTAACATATTGACATATAAAGCGCCTTATTTATGCGTAATTAAGAGCTTCAATTCTTAGTAACGTAAACGCTGTCAATTTTAAATTGTGAAAAAATATCCTTTTTCCTTCATTAATTGGTATTCTTAGGGCCCGAAGGCATTACAGATGGGGTGGGATTATAACGTACAGGTTAATAAAACACTGAAATAACGAATCAAGTTCTAGTAGTATGGATAGAGCATTTTTAAAATCAAGAGGATTAACAACCGTGGCGATGGATGTGGAAAGGTGATTCCAGTCAGCAGACGTACGAGGTACGAATGATCTGTAGTAGGTATTAGTGTGGCACTGTGGAATTTAGACTTTATGTATGTGATCATTGCGTGATGATATGTAGGATGGTTCCAGTAAGAGTTCAATTTTAAGGATGGGGTTGTGAAAAACATATGTTCTGAAATAAACATGAACAATAAAACTATCGGCGTAAGGAAAGACTATGTAATGATAGGCTATTTTTCATAGAGGTCACGCTTGATGTACGATGGTAATTAGAAAGAATGAAACGCACGGATCTGTTCTGAACAGCTTCGAAGGCACCGACAAGATTCTCTGTTATGATCCCGGACGGCGGAAGCGTGCTATATTTTTGGCAAGACATGCGTTTAAAAAAAAAAAAAAAAGAGTTTTAAAGTCAAGGGAGCCCGGGAAAAAATTCCGTTTTAGCTACACAAGCGTGCGGTTGGCATTGGACATGATGTAAGAAACATGCGATTCCCATGTGATGGTAAATGTGATGTGAACGCCCAGATATTTGTATATGTCAGCCAGCTCTAAAATCACATTATGAAGAACATGGGAATGAGGAGTGTTAAGTAGGTTTTTTAGTGGTTAAATTTTTAAGTAGGTTCTTTAGTCGTTATTCTGAAATCGGCCACGAATATGACACTATATACTTGTAGCTTCAGACAGGGTCAACTTCAATCTTATATATTAAAATTAAGGGTAGTTACATCATAATATAAATAAATAAAGCAGCTGTTTACCGACACTACTTTTGTAAGTTTGGGGCGTATGTAAAATACGTGTATCGCGAAATAAAATTGAAAAAAAAACAATAGTTGCGTACAATTGTGGTTAGGAACGTTTTCTAGATCGTATGCAAACGCTTGGCATTGCTAGCGGAAGCTCTTATCTACACTTCGAGCACGGACTGAGCACGCACCCGCTGGGCCCGCAATCCGCAGCACACGATCTACGAAGAGACCCCTGTTGATGTGGCGCTTACGTACCATAAAATTGCCAGCCTCATCAATTACCCTACTACCTTTTGACATCAACTCGTGGACGTGTTAAAGTCTAGCGGGTACCCCAAAGCTCGCATACGACAAGCCAAAAACATGCTACGGTAAATAAATAAACTTTTCCAAGAAAACGAGCGGTAGCTTTGGTTTACACCTTCATCGGGGTAATAGTTCTCAAACTATGGATCTGGACGTGGACAAAAACAAGAGGGATTTTGTATGATCTTGGTGTAATCATACGAAATGTACTCCCATTCTTTAGCTAGCAGCGCCGTAACTAATACGCAGGCACACTTTAAAACGACAAAATAACGTTCGTTTCTCAGTTTACATCATCATAATGACACTTAAACACCAAGGAAAGTGTTAGTGGCACAGGAACAAAAATATAGACCAATATAGTGTCATATATGTTTTACTGTTTTCGAATACCTACTCATTTTTACCGTGCAAAGGTGTTCAATATACCAGTTATTTTTGCCATATGCTTCATTCCTTTTGGAGGATGGCTAATGAGAACGCATTCAGACATTAGTCCTGCATGCCTGCGTTATAGAGGAAAAGGGGAAATTCTTACTATCTGTACACAACACGTCTATACACTCGCTATAAATTCCTATTACATATAAGCCCTCACAGAATAGAGGAAAGGGGGGGGGAGATTATACAAGCAGTAAATTAACGCAACCATCGGCTGCCAGGACACTGAAAGGCCGAACAGCCAGTCTGCACAAAGTCTACTCACCGCAAAAGACTTGCATCCATCCGCAGATATGGAACACAGTGGACGAGTGGAAGACGAAGAACAGCAGCATGCAGCAAATGCATAACAAGACCATGACGACGGATAATCCGACGAACACAGTGGCAGCACGGAACGCCGCCGACGGGATCGAACTGAAGTCGTCCAGCCTTCCCTGGCAGGTGACGTCCTGTCCGTCCTGGATCAGGTGACAGTACTGCCAGAGGCCGAAGTGACCGGTGCCTCGGGACTCCTTCGTGTCCCCGAGCCAGTGGGGCTGAATGAACACTACGACGTTGATGATGGCGAAGCAGAGCGTGAACACGGCCCACAGCACCCCGATCGCCTTGGAGTTGCGCATGTAGTTGGCCTGGTACATGTTCAGTTCGCTGGCGTACTCGTACTTGGGCTCCATGGTTTAGGCCTAAGCGCGCGGACACTTGTCGTTCCTCCCACTGCCACACAGAACACACAACACACGTTCACTCGGGGGCCAGAGAGACCGCCTCACCGCTGCATTCTTCGCTCCGTCGACTATGCACGTCTTTGCACAGACACCTGTTCACTCGAGACACGCCACTGGGCACGGCGCTCGCAGCCTCGGCAAGGGACAACTCGTACCGGCCGACGAACCACACCGAAATGAAAAAGCACGCAGCAGGTTGGTACAGCAAGAGGGCTGAGCAAAGGGGGGAGGAGATGAGAGCTCGGCGGGGGAAGGGCTTTGCAAAATGGCGGCGTTGCCGCTACGGTCCTACGGCCTGGAAGACTGGTTTGTCCAGTTCTCTCTTTTCTTCTAAAGGGTATCCCCCACGCTGCTGCCACCGCCGGCGCGGTGGTGTTGCCGGTCTTGATGTTTTTCTTCCGCGCTTGGAAGCGGCGAGCTTTCGTTCGAACCAAGGCGTCAGCTGGCGAGGAACGTACGGCGTTGTCTTCTCAAGGGACGTGCGTTCTTTGCCGATGAGGAGGAGACAGAGAGCGTCCATGACGCAACCGTTAAAAGTGTACGGATCCTCTTGTAACTTCGGCCCGCTGGCGAGATCTTCGGGCAGGGAACGGCTTTGCGAAGCAGGGAAAGCAAGCAAGGCAGGCCCCTGACCGCTCGGTTGGCCGCAGCTCATGCCTACAGCCGCATGCATTGCAAGCGTGTGCCCTTGAGGAAGAGCTAAAAGCGTCGACGACACCGGTCGTTTACGCGCCCTTTTGTTTTTTGTTGGAACGAGGCGACGTCTCCCGTGGACTACCGCATGAATATGAACAGGCTATTGTGCCATGCGCTCGTGAGTGTGGTGGACGTGCTCTTTAAACACGTCTCGGTACACTCAGTGGTTTTACAACCTTGCGCGAAACGAGGAATTTCAGCGGCTACTCCTTTCGTTCCCGCCTCTGACACGCACAGCGCTCCTGCGCCAACTTTTAAGACTTCGAGGTTTCTCTCGTCTTGGGCGCTTCCGCCTTCGTCGGCAACAACTTGCCAGAATTTGAAAGTTCCTCGCTGAAGACCTCAACGAACTGCAAACAAGACGCCTTGGCCAGCTCTTGATGTCTTTCACCTTGTGCAACGTCATCTTAAGAGACCTTGAATAACACCCGTATTTTAGTGCGGTAACGTGTAGCCATTCTCATGAAACTTCATCTGTTTTAACGTTTCTTTGCTCACTGCTTTCTCCAATATGTTTTTGGCATTTGTTCCCTGAGCGTTTCCAAAACGATAGCAAGATCGTTAATGCATCCGAAACCTCGCGATGATAGCATGCGTTGCCACGGCATGTATCTAAATGCCGAATGCCTCGTTACCTTGTAGACGCATACTGCACCGTCACCCAATAAACATTGAAACCATAAGTCAATCAGAACAATCCTGTAAAACAGGAGAGCTATCAGCAAACGTTGTGTAATCTAAAAAAAAAATTTAGAACTGGTGATGTTTTGTTTGTTTTTTATCGTTTCATGTCTCCGGTTACTATGGAAGAATTTTAAGTTACGGAGAATAGCTAAGGCTCCGGAAAAACATAGAGTGTCTCTTCAGGAAATACTCCAAAAACGCTCCAGTCATCCGATGGGTTGAACCATGCAACCACTGTAAAGTTAGCGAGCAGAGGCTGTAAATGATGAGAAGTTTTTAATTCATCCCCAATGCTGCCCTCCACAACCTTCCGTCTGAGAGAGGGCCACACTTCTGGGTTTTAACTTTTGAGGCTCACACGCCGAACTTCATGGGAGGCATCCAGAGCGCGCGAGAACTAAAACAAATTGAAGAAACACCTTGTCGTCAAACAAATGAGAGACTTGCTAATAGCAGTGTAAGCGGAACGTTGCTCAGAAACGTAACGAATATATTAAAATGGAAGAATTGGCGATGATAATGCTTCTTTATTGCTTCGATGGCTGTTTTAGTATAATCGCTAATAATTACGTTCAACTTATTGAATATGTAGCTACACCTCGCTTCCGAGCCTGCTGTATATACGTAGAAACAACTGACAAATGGTACAGAAATAGTTACCTATAGATAAAGCACATCGTTCCATGTTAATCCACAGTTCGTGGCATGTAAAACATTACAACATGCCAAAAACATTATTAGGACAATGCGTTCCTCGTCAGAGGTTGCCATCTCTCTATAAAAAGGAATGCTTTGTGCAAGTAAAGTGCTCACAAAACTTAAGCGGAACAGCCAAACTCTGTCTTTACTCACGAGAGCACTGTCCTGACGGGCCGGCCGGCAGCCGAGCGTTGATTTTGCGACTTAGCACTCAACAAAGAAATTCCAAAGTGCTACTTAAAGGAGCCGCTGTTCAGCTTCCTCCAGGATAGCGCTTCCGTGAGAAAACATACGGTTTGCGTGTTCTCTTTAGGTTTGTTGAGCAGTTTACACGAGGAAGATTTCAATCTAGCATGAGGCCCACTAGTTTCTTAAAACAAAAGAATAACACAAGACGTAGCACATAAAAGGGGCTGTAATGTTCATTCAAATGACTCATTCAATTCTCTGTACAAATGAAGGAACGGAGGCAGCTCCACCGAAGCTGATCGCTCGCAGGACTTTGTTCGCTTGACATTCCGGTCTTTGACTTCGCCCTCGCAGTGGGCGTCCACTTCAGGAGGGACAGCAGCAGAAAAAGTGACGCAGAATCTCCTTGCGCTGCTGCCTGTCAGCGTGGGTAGAAGCAGCCGTGTGTTACCTCGCGACATCTGTTCAACGGGCATTGAATAACGCGACACGACGGGCATGCATCACACAAGTCGGGCGAGAGCGCGGCGGGATAGAACAATACATTTGACAGCGCCATAATGCGCAATTCCAACGTGCTCACGAGCCGTTGCCCTTCGTTTCAAGGACCTCAGTCATCTCCGCTTCCGACGTGACAGTGGCAGTAGAGCGATGCTTAAGATTCTCAACGGCCTATAGGTAGTTGACATTGGTTCCTTGAAAAGGCTCGTAATTTTTCGGAGTCGCTCTGAGGGACTATCCGCTTGCATTTAATATTTCTAAATGCAAGCGAGTGGCCACACGTGCACATCGTAAGGTATATTGCTTCGGCGTTCACAAGAAAAAAAAAGTTGATTGGAACGATACCTTACTGAAGAAAACAACTCCTGGTAAAGACATCTCGATTTTGTTTTGTTTTTATTTGTGATTAGTTAAAAAAAAATAATGTTTCTTAATAAGACAAAAAAGTCGCGTTTCATAATATTGCGAAATAATTCATTGTTCCCACAGCCGATGCGAAAGGCAAAAAATGTTTGCCTTCTTTTTTTATGACAGAGCCTTCAAATTATCCTACATAGTTAGGCTTCTGTTGATAAGCTGTGCGAGGAAATGTATATCTGCTATGGGGAAGATTAAAACACACTTTCCGCCTTTTGCAAAATGTCTAGGGTGTCTTGCTAAAAACAGCGTCTCAACTAAGACTGTGTGAAAGAAAGCCTGCCAAGCCTGGGGCGCGCGAGCGCTTGAGAGTCTTCTTCACGTGCCACTCAGCTCGTGTTCTAGCAGTGGTGATGCTTTCTTCTAAACAGACTCAGCTGGGACCCTGTTTCTAGCAAGCCAGCCCTGAGTTCTTCCAATACTTGTGAACGATATAATGTGTAAAAAATAATATCCGACGACTTCAGTTTATATCAAGGGTTTCCAAAAAGTCATCGCGTTCCGGCAGACTTCCACTTTCCAAACTCTCAGTTTAACCACGCAGCAAAGTCAATGCAAACCTTGAGAAAGAACTTTAGTTCATTTCATACTACGTTACGTACTCCGCACGCTAAGCTTTGTCATGATTTCTAGCGCGACAGGCCGATACATGATGAAGGTGTTTACGAGCTTGACATCCAGCTATTTCCCATTGACTTCGTATCACGTATACCAAGCTACACAATATTTAAAGAAAAAAAAAAGTTCGCTTCGACCATTCACAAATCCTGTGTTCTACGATGCAGGACGTCTGAGTGTAGAGCATCCCTGGCCTCGCTTGGCTGATCAAGCAGAGATCGAAGTCGGTCCATTTTTGGAGTGTCGAACCCAAAAGGTCGACGCTTCTCGGTTTTTTACACACTACTAAAACTTAAATAATAGAAGTCGTCATCTATCATCGATGAAGCATTTGGAGCTCAACATTGTTAGCATTTCCAAGCAGATGTAGCGTGTCCTGCTTTCTCGAGGTAAGAAATGTTTTTATCTCACGATATAAAATAATCGAATGAGGTTTGCCAAAAGTTTGAACTGGAGTCGTTTTTTTTTTTTTATGTTGACCGTTTTAAGACGTTTTATGCAATTTGGTTATTGTGATCACTGTGTGGCAGGTTGGATGATTCGTATACCTTTATTTTGAAAATGACGCAAAGTTTGCCCATCTTTCCGACTAACTCTATACAGGCCACAGAGCTGCAGGATGCCGTCAGTGAAGTGACCTCTCAGTTTCCGGTGAAAGAAAAAAAGCTATATATATATATATATATATATATATATATATATATATATATATATATATATATATATATATATACAAAGTCAATGTGATACTTCTAATTCAGTGGTTATGTTAATATAAGATGTTATTTGCTTCTCTAGATGGGATTCCGGATTCCACTGTCCACAAGAAGTTTCTCGAGTTATGTCTCGTTAATATGATTCCGCTTAATATGAAGAGCCCGCTACATAGACAAAACTTCCGGGGACGGGCTGGGTGAATACATTACATTTTGTCCCATTATTGTGGACCATTCACATTATGGACGCTGGAGGGGGGGGGGGGCGTTCATATTAGCGAGATATTAATGCATTGTCGATTTACAGTTGATTTCAGCTACGTTAGAACTGAGAGCACATTACGTGCGGTTAAACAAAATTGCTCCTAAATTATATCTGCATCAGTAATGTGATTAGTCCGAATAATGACGGAGCAGATCTTGGAGCGG